GGGGGGGGGGGGGGGGGGGATGCCCCCCCTGGTCACAGAAAACCTTGCTCCAGCCCTGCAGAAACTTTATAAATGTGATAAATAAAACCCTGTCAAAGGGGGTGTTGTTGGGGGGGCTGGTCACAGAGAGTCTCTCTCCGCCCCTGCAGGAGCTCAACTGTTGCGCCCCGCCCCCTGATGATGATGATGATGATTATGATGGTGATGATGATGATGAAGATGCTGGTGAGAAAGACTAATCTGACAGCAGTAATCCCGCAGTGGGGGGCWGCTGCTGCYGCTGCGCGCGCGCTCATGTGTGAGTCTGCTGCCGCTGAGGGTCCGGTACCGTGACGGTGAGGAGGATGATCCGGCTGACTGGACTCACCTGTGGACCCGAACCGTCAGGATGCCTCACCTGAGCCGAGCTCTGCTCCTGCTGCTCTGCCTGCTCCTCACCGGGGAGGCCCGCAAACACCGACACCGGGTGCGCAGATGGACCGGAACCGTGGAGAGCCAGAAGCACGGAACGTAAGTTAAAAAAAAAAAAAAAAAAAAAAAAACGAGGGGTGCAGAGTCGGAACCCGAGGTTCTGATGTGGACCTGATCGGACCGGTTAGACTCGGAACAGAAGCAGGTTTTTATTCTGGTTTAGAGTTTCTGAAAATAAGGATCCGAATCAACCCGAACCCTTCTGATCCGGTCCAACCCAAACCTCCAGCTGACTCCAGTTCATCAGAACTCAGCGGGAGGCTCGGATTGGACCGAATGAAACCGGGCTCTGCACTCAGCTGGAAGTTCGGTCGGAGCTGGGTTCTGGAAGGTCAGTGAGGAATGGGTTGGGATGGATCGGAACCTGGCTCTGCAGTCAGTCAGAGGTTCTGGTTGGATTGGGTCAGAACTGGGCTCAGACAGTCAGCAGACTTTCCAGAAGTCAGTTGGAGGTTTGGGTTGGACCGGGTCAGAACTGGGTTGGTTCTGGTTGCATTGGATCAGATTTAGGCTCTGCAGAATCAGCAGCAAGTTTGGGTTGAGCCGGGTCAGAACTGTCTCTGCAGAGTCAGCTGCAGAACTGGATCAGACCCGGTTCTGACCCGACTCACCTGAACAGGTGAGGGATGTTTCAGCCAGAAACAAGTTTTTATTTTATTTTTGACTAAAACTGTCAGAACTCTTCAGAACCGCAGCATTAACTGGGTCTGACTGATTGGGAGGGATCAGAACCAACAGAACCTTTGGACTCTGGACAGAAATGATTCCTGACCCGTTCAGGCGGCTCAGAGAATCATTAAGAAAAGCTTAAAGCTGTGGGGAGAGTTCTGACCCAAACGGTCCAGAACCACTGATGAGAGGTTCTGATCAGACTCACCTGTTCAGATGTTTTATCTGTGTTGGAGCTCATAAATGGATCAGAACCTTCACCTGCTTTCATTTTAAAACATCTTTTTTTYCMCTCAAACCTGGATCTTTCAGAACCGTTAGAACCGGGTCAGACTGCAGTTCTCTGACTGCTCCTTCAGCTGCTCTTCAGAGCCTGACCCGGCGTGTTACCTGGGCCCGGTTCTGTTCATTCAGGAGGAGGTCGACCTTCAGAAAACTTGAATTATCTGAATAAAAAAAAAAATCCTGAACCAGAACCTGAGCTTTGGGTTCAACGGTTCTGAGACTGGGGTCGGGTTCTGTGGATGATCCGAGTTTCTCAGAACCAGTCTGACCTTTGACCTCAGGCAGCCTCACTTTGAGCAGCTGTTTCAGCATCAGAATCTTTCCTGGATTACGGGCTGACCCGGTTCAGCCTCTCATCCACGCTGRACGTGATGAACACATGATGCAACCCCCAGAGAGACCCTCTGCTTGTGTTTTCCTCCGGCTGCAGCAGGTCGGTTCAAACAGAACCCAGAAGAACCGAGTTGATCTGCGATGAGGGAGAGCTGCCGGGGAAAAGATTTCCACTTTGTGAATTTTAGATTTAATTCTCTGAAATCTGTTAATATTTGATGCTTCACGGTCCTGATGTGATGCAACAAAGTAAMGATGTTTAAGCTGCTGTTGTGGAAAATATTTCAGCTGAGAGCTGCTGAGTTCTGGATTAATTCTTTAAACTCTTGTTTTTATTCATTTTCATGATGTTTCAATAAAAAAACATCAGGCAAAAATCAGCTGTTAAAATCGTTCTGAGTCGTTTAGTTTTTATACATTTGTAGAAGAAGAAATGTTTAAATATTTATATTTATCTGTAGTTTATTGTCTGCCAGCTGTTTTTAACTTTCTTCTGCAGCTGTTTCAGCTGTTTCAGCTCTCAAAACATTCGGCTTATTCAGGATGTTTCTGCTGTGACTTCAGGTTTTAGTTTTAACATTTTGAATTATTTAACCTAATTAAGAAAAAGCATCAAACTTTTCAAACTCTTTGAAAACATTTTGTGCTGTTTGAAATCTGTTTCAGTCAGTTAGCTTCCTTTTTAGCTTTCAGCTACTTCTTTTTTGTTAAAGTGTTTAGCTACTGTTTGATAATTTTGGCTTCTACTGTATTGCTAATTTAAGCATATAGCTACTGTTCTGCTGATTTTAGCTTTCATCTTCTGTTTTGCTAGTTGTAGTTTTTAGCCATTGTTTTATAAGTTTTAGCATTAGCTATTTTGCTTCTATTTGCTTTTAGCTACTGTAGCTATAGCTTTAGCTGCTGCTGTATTTAAATTTTAGCTGCAGGTTTCAGATTTCAGCTTCTGATTTTCTGGTCTTCGCTTTGAGTTAATGTTCTACGAATTGTACCTTTTAGCTACTGTTGCATTTCAGATTTTTATTTATTTATTTATTTATTTATTTATTTATTTATTTATTTATTTATTTATTTATTTATTTATTTATTTATTTAAGCTATTTTAAAAATGTGTTCTACGTAATTTTTAAATTAACTCCAGCAGTTCTTTAGCACTCTAGATTTGTTTTTAAATTAGTTTTACATGAGATAAAATATGAGTTTAGTTTCAAATGTTTATGAATTTTATGTTTATTCAGATTTAATATTCACAAGCATCTAATAGCTTAATAAGAAACTAAAAATCTGCACTTCTAACTTTGTTTCTGATAAACTCTGGAAGCTTTTATCATGACTCCTCAGCAGCCGCACTTTGACACTTGGATGTTTTAATTCTGTTTGAAGAGGTTCTTTGATTGTTGACTGGTTTTCAGGCCATCGGTTTTTGCAGCAGAGAATCTGCTTTTCTGATGATAATTTACAGTTTTCTGCTGTAATTAGATCTCCTGCTGTGAGGGGAGTTCATTTAACTGTAACTTCATGATGAAACAGCGTGAGGCCGTAAAACCCTTTGAGAAGTGGAAAAATAAAGAAATTAAAGGACAAACTGACAATTTTCAGAAAAGCAAACTGATCTCAAACTTTTCTGCATTTCATGTTTGTTACGTGTCGTCACGCTGAGCACAGATGAGCTGAATGTAAAATAATCCCCCAAATCTGTTTTTATTTTGAGTAGTTTCCTGTTCAGCAGCTCAGACACTGGCGCTGTCCCAATACTCACCCTACACCCTACACCCTAACCCCCACGTGACGTGTGGTTTCAGTCAAAGTGCACATAAGTGTTGGAGTGTGCATGTTACAATCGTGCAAAACAACTGAGAATTGGGACAGTACCAGATTACATCATCAAACACCGGTATCTATCGGTCACTGTTAGGCCAAAACTCATAAAAATAAAAGTAAATGTTTAATGAAAAAAAAAAACTAATTTTATCTCCTTCATGATTGAGTTTACATATATGCAATCTATTCACTTTTCAACTAATCAGAAGGCAAAAAAATTACGTCTTGTTCACTTTTTGGAATTCTTGATTTAACTTTGTC